CACGGGTTTTGTGGTTATTGGTTGAACTTTCTCAGGTTTTTCCCTATTCACCCTCATTAAAATATACACATTTCACCTTTCTGCAATGGTGGCTTTGTACCTTACTGTTACTGTTCTTTATGATCAGTATGACAAAAGAGGGCAAAGGTTATAGTACAATAAATCACAGACAAATCAATGTACTCACCCTATGTAGATAAATGATTTCTACTGGAAATCAATTTTGGTTTCATAACCACCTTTTTTCTAGGCAACCTAGAATTTTTATGTCTGCAGCCTAGGAATCAACAAATTGTAGTTTTTGAGCTTGCCATGCCTCTAACTTACTGAGTGGTTTTATTTATTTATTTATTTATTTATTTATTTATTTATTTATTATTTATTTCTGAGTGGTTTTATGTTTAGAGGTCTATGCTTCGGTTTTATCTGGTTGAAATGTAGGTAAAATCATTCTTCTCTAGAGTTACACAATTTCTGGAAATGTTAAAGCCAAGGGGCAAGAGCCAAGGTGGTTTTTTACTTTGATGGAAATTGAAATGTTGCAATGTTGCCTTCTAACCTTGCCCTTCTATCCTGTCAATTCACCCTTGACTCTGGAACTTTGGGGACAAATGCAAGCTCAACAGATATTGACACTTTTCAGTACCAGGTTCCCTGTTCAGTGCTGGGAATGCCACCCCTTCTCTGTTTTGTCCTACAATTGCCTAACCAACCCCTGATTTTTACTGGTCATGCTTCATTCATTTTCATTCAGCAAATATTTGTGGAGCACATACTAAATTCTAGGCATTGTGCTGGGTGCCAAGCTACAGGAATGAGAAAAGACAGGCCATACCCTCAGGAAGATTCTGGCCCCCACTTTGAATTAATTCTCCTGGCAGTTATCTCCTGCCTCTGTACTCCCTCAACACCTACTTCATGCCTCTTTCTAGCACTTACATCACTGTACCTATAATACATACCCTTGTCTCCTTTTAAACCATGAGTACCTTGAAGACGACAATCTCAACTTTCTCTCCTGGGTGCCTCGCACTCCCTTATGTCTAACACATAGGGGAGCTCAATAAATGTTTTTGAATGAATAAATAATTGCATGGATTTACAAATTAATAAACCTATGGAGCCATAGACCAGTCTGCCCTGACCTCCCATCCCACATCTCTTGGATTAGGAACTCAACGATCAGTCATCTGTTAGCACTACAACACTCCTCGTGATTTCAAGGACCTTCTAAATGTAAAACCAGCTGGTACACAGGTCATTTCTTCTTCCAAATATATTTGCCATTGAGATGAAGAACAAATACTAGCTTCAACTTGTGTTTACAATACCTTTTTGCAGGAGGGCAAACATGATTATATATGATTTAAATGAAATGAACTTATAGTAAGGAAAACAAATGAGTTTACTTGCGACTCATGGATAGATACTGTTAATATAGCTACAGAAAGAAGAAATATAACAATGGCTTAAACAAGCTAGAAGCTTTTTTTATCTGTCATGTAAAAGTCCGGAAACAGTCTGATACAGAGGTTCTGCTCCATGAAATCATCAGCTCGTGGTACCATCATTCCCTAAGATAGGGTGCCTGGGTCACGATGGACCCCAACTGTCACCTAGACCTCCATGCAGCAGAAGGAAGGAAGAGGGATGAAGGGACAAAGGACAAACACTAACTCCTAAGCAGTTTCTTGGAGGCTGCCAGAGGCACTTCAGCTTACATCCCACTGGCCACACGTGATTATAAAGGAAGTTGGGGAAAATGGTTTTTATTTTGGATAACTACATGTCCAGCTAAAAACGATTTTAGTGTGGCATAAAAGGAGTACAGACACTAGCGGTACAATCAGATGTCTCCACTGCAGATACTGCAACTGAAGTGTTAGTTGACTCTTCAAGGACTATTGTATTCTGATTCCTGCAAGCTGAAGTCACAATGATGAACTCCAATTGTTAATCCACTGTGCTATGATCACAGTTGGTACTGCTCTGTCACTATCAATGACAGCAGGAGTGAGGGAGAAGAAAAAGAGAGCTTTTGCAATAAGGAAATTAGGGGGCAGTGGGAGTCTGGGTAAGGCAGCGGCAACGGTAGTCGAAAGGGGAAGGCAGGGGGGAGAAAGATGGTAGAATCAGCAGGACGAAATGGTTGGATATTGGAGGAAAGGGAGAGGGAGGATCTAGAATGATTTAGCTTTAAAGCAAATTAGACCCTCGTAATTGGACTTAAAAAGGGCAGTTTGCAGACTGCATTAGACTGGTGGAGTTAACTGCTGTAAATTGACCTGAAATCTCTCCTTGATCTATTACTTCTTGCCATGAATTTTCTTTTGAATGGACTAATTAAGTTAATAAACTCCAAGTAGTTAATCTTTCACAGGGAAAATTTTACAGGTCTTAGTGACCTACCTTAACCAGTAATAATGTTCCCTCTCCTAATTCAGTACACTACTCGGGACTCCTTAAAATTCTTAGTTCTTGAGGCATTCTTAATTCAAGTGCCAGAATTTCTCACTTGAGTAAGCTGAATATATGGAGAATCTATTCCCCCATCTAGAAAATGGAGTTGGTACTGCAGTTGCGAAATTTAAAATACATTGGATGTTTAAAGGACATGACACAAGGCCTGGTCCAATAAATGCAAGTTTCTGTCTCCTTCCAAAGTGCTTTCTTTTTTTAATGCATTCATTCAACATTTATTCAGCAGTTACTAGTGCAGACACTGGGCTAAGTGCTAGGGAGCACAGCTACATTTAGTTCTTGAAACCAAAGTTATAATATCTTTTTTTTCACTTCTGAATGTTGAGGTAAATTCTGATCCTCTACACCAGTGTGCCTGCCTACTGGACTGGGAGTTCCTGAGGGCAGGGAACATGCATATGTCTGTTACCTTTATATTCCCAGTCCTTAACACATGTGCTTATTAAATGTATGAATGAATGCATGACCAAGGTCCAAGAAATGAAGCCAAAAATCTAAATGCAGGCCTGGAGTCAGAAAACTACTCCATGGTAGTTCTGGATGGATCATGGATGTTCAGACATTATTGGAGACAATTCCATGAACGTTGAGTGTCTGTGGGGGTACTTCTTCCACATGGGGCCCAGTAGCTTCTGCTAGAATGGCTATTGGAGGAGGTGGGGTTCCTAAAGGGCAAGAGGCAGCATGTGACAATGAATAAGGGTTTGGGCTCTGGAATCAGACATTTATGCATGTAATTACAGTCAAATATGAAAAATCTCCCAAGAGGAGAACTCCAAGATCCAAGATGTAAAAGATTACACCAGGTGGACCTGCCTAGTCTAAGGGTCCAGGGAAGGCCTCCTTGAAGAGTCCTGTAAGTTGCTCACTGCACAACTGAGGGGTTAGTGTGGGTGGAGATCCAGGCTATGCTCCACTCCCAAGATGGATGCCTTAGTGCAGGGCTGTGTCCGGCCCAGAGGAGTTCTTTCCTCCATTCACACAAAGGCTCCAGTTTGCGAAGCTACAGCCCGTGGTTATGAGCACCTAAAAACTGAAAGATAAATAGATGTTTTCCAGGAAAAGTTTAGGCCAGAGGGACCAAGGTGGGGGAACAGCATGTGTGAGGTCTGGGGATTTTACAGAAGGCCTGGTGCACTTGAGGAACTGAAGGAATTTTGGGATGACTGGAGCATGGAGTTCAAAGAGAAGATCACCAAGAGTGAAACTGGATCACAGCTAGCATTTTCTGTGAGCTTACTAATTACACTATGTTAATGGCCCTCCATGCTTTATTTTATTGAAATCAAAGAAAATGACTTTACCAAAGTCATATGTTAGAAAACAGTGAAACTATGATTCAAAGCCAGATTTAACTTCAGAGCCTGTGCTCCAAACCACATGTTCCATGGCATCCAAAGATTTGCAAAGGCAGATTGCAAAGGGATGCAACTGGAGGCAGGAGAGCCTATTAGGAAATAGTTGTAGAAATCCAGATACGAAATGCTGGCAGGCTTAAGATGGCTTTGGAAATGGAAAGGAGTAGATGGATTCCAGAGATTTGGGAAGCACAATCTACGGGACTTGGAGGTTGTCTGAGTATGAAAGGCAATGATGAGAAGAGGGAGGAGGCTAGGATGACTCCTTATTTTGTGTCTCTGTGGATGGTGCATCCTTTGCTGAGATTAAAAAACAATGAAGTAACAAGTTTGGGAGGAAGGTGAGTTTAGAGCCTCTCAAGTTGGAAACACCTGTCATCCAGGTGGAGATGGCCAGCTGACAGTTCAGCGCTGGCTCTGAAACTCAGGAGAAGCTGTATAGTTACCCCACATCAACATATCGTTGGTAATTGACCCAGAAAGTGAGTGAGAGAGTGTAGAGAAGAACAAAGATTTCCTAGCAGAAGGACTTTTCCCCCGATCCAGCTGTTGAGCCTTATCAACATAATCTGACCTTTGATTTATCTGCATCCTTTACAAGAACTATTCCTCAAAGGTTTATGGAGTGTCATATTATAAACTGAAACCAGAGATCTGTGATAAGAAGGTACAAAAAAGGGAGTCTACCATAATAAAAAATAAAGAACAAATGGCCTTTTCTGACTTTTTTTTATTCAAAGCCAGATTTAAATGTAAATAGGACTCATTCTGTATTTTCTATAAGAACGTAGGTGCTGAATAAAATATCATTTATATTACAATAATGCAAGGAACTGCTTCTACTAAGAAAATTCCATGCATTATTCACGCAGAAGAATGAATGAATTAAAATCCAGCAACATCAGTGGAGGCCTTAGCTTATCAATGACCTCTTTAAAATGTGGCCTCACAACTGAACACAGTCCTTCTCCAATATTGCAAGTAAAGTTTTCTGTATCTTACACTAAGTGCTATAAAAATGAGACTCTAAGTCATGCCTTCCCCTCCTGCTACCCGTCAGCCTCTCTAAATGGAAATTCTAAGCCATGTCAGTTGCAGTCATCATAACGAGATGGGATTTAGGCTTAGCTGAATGAATTCATTTTGTCTCTTTTCTTTTAGAAAGCATCGCAGACACCCTTTCCATGATGTGGCTTCTAAAGACTCAAGGACCACCCACCTTACTAGTCTGCAATGGCAAAGGCAGAAATGGATATTCAAACCCCACAGCCTCCGTTCTGTTATTAATCACTCTGTAGACATGTGCCCCCACTACAGAGAGTGAACTGCACCACGGGGGAAAGTTCCAGGGGCCCCCAAACCACCAGCACTCTTGTCTCTCCCCCTGGAGAAAAAGAACTATGGCGTTTAATAGATGTTGTTTGATCTTCTTGGCAATTACCTGGTGCACTTCTGCCTATGGGCCTGACCAACGAGCCCAGAAGAAAGGGGACATTATCCTCGGGGGACTCTTTCCTATTCATTTTGGAGTAGCAGCCAAAGATCAAGATCTAAAGTCAAGGCCGGAGTCTGTGGAATGTATCAGGTAAAGAAAGGAGCCAAGTCAAAGAGTCTCTTCTCTTCTGGTGGTTGTAGAAAAACTGTACCAAACCCAAAGTAATTTTTTCAAACTTGGTTCTCTCTTTTCAAAAATGGTGATTGGTAGTCATGCTGAAATTATTCCACCACCACCCCCCTTTTTAAAAGAAAATTTTCAAATAGTAAAATGTCAAAAATGTTGAGTAAAAAAAATCCATGGCCTGCTGGGGGGTATGTGTCCAATCACTTGGTAACTGAATTGTCATTGTTCATCTGGCAGAAGTGTTGCCGAATGAAAGACTAAGTACCTAGAAGGAAATTTATTATAGGTCTTGCAAACCTGAGTAGTAAAATCTCCCATTTACCTTAAGTGCCCTAGGTATTAAGGTCAGTAATACCTGAGTGTTGGCTGCCTCACTCTCACTATTTTTAAAAAAGGATTTTAAAGTTGAAAGAAACCTCAGTGGTTGGCATGATTCAGGCATCTTCAAAATGCAGCCTGCAGGATTTTGGAAGTCCTTCTTATAGAAGGCTGAAATCCTGCTGCTTAACACAGAATATGCTTGACACCAATGAAGAAAACACAGAATCTAAGTGTCTCACTGAACTCTCTCTTCAGCCATTGGAAGACAGCTAACATGTCCCACTGAATCACTTCTTTTCCAGGCCTGAGTCTCGGTTTTCTGAACAAGTACCTCATGACATGATTTCTAGACCCCTCACCATTCTCATTGCCCTCCATCTAATGCTCCCTAATTTATCATGACGATGATACGGCCTCTAGAATTAGGCACAATTCCTTCAAACAAGATCTGACTTCTGCAGAGTAGAATGGACTGTATATCACCCCCTATCACCAGGATATTGGAGACCATGACTGCACCCCAAGTTTTTACCCAATTTCTAAGAGAAAATACCACTTTCTCTCTAAGACTTGCAATGTTCAGAAGGGATCCAGCATTTTTTTCCTGCTCTTCCTGATTGCTGTAGAATGAAAATGAAAACTACAATTGCACCAACAAAACTGATTTCTGTTCATGTTTCTAATGAAAGCTGGAAAATTAGATAACATTTTCACATTTTTCTCATGAATACAGAAAAACTAAGTACAGAATTTCAATTATGCTGATTATATCCCTCATATAACCCATGTGGACAAATATCCTTTTGTTGTGCCCTACTGGACAGAGTTGTGCGTGTGCTACGTATATACGTAAGATCAAGCAAGAAGCCCTAGAAATACTATATTTTTTAAATTATATTAAAGAAAGATAGCAAAAGCAGTATAAGTGTTTTATGTAAAGAAATATTCTATAATCTCTCTTAACTTTGCACGTTTAAAACAAATAGCTAAACCAAAAAAAAAAAATGATGGAAACATAAAGAAAATGACTAGGAGAAAATGTCACATTAAAAGTTAGGAACCTAAACAATACAGTGGAGTACAACAAACTGTATTTCTTACCTCCTGTCATTGAGTCACTGTAACCTACCAGGTGGAGAGGGAACCTGCGGAGTTGTTCCATTTCTTGCTTTGGGCACTGATGCACTGATTCAGCACACTTGTCTAGCCCTCACACTTATCTAGCCTAATTCTGGGAGACTGAAAACTATGTCACTGACCCTACTTCTCTTTGTTAAATTTGCTTGATATTTATTTAAAATAATGTTCTTTGAAAAGCAATACATGCTCATTTTTTAAAAACAGAATACATAAATAAAGCAAAAGCTCACAATTTTAAAACCCATTGCTCCCCGACCCAGGAATAACCACTGTTTGTAAACAGCCCTCCTATATATGTTTGTTAGTTTACAAAGATGAGACCCATCATTTCCCTTTCCCCTTTGACCTCCAGTAATGTCATAATCTAAATTTGTGACTAGGCCAACCTGAAGTTATTTTTAGGCTCCCACCTATTAAAATCCTAATCTTACTTATATTTTCCCTAATCCTTTCTTTTAATCTCTGTATTATTTTTAATACTTCACATCAGCAACTTCAAACTCTGCTGGACGAAGCAGATACAAATTATTCATTCTATTACTAATAACAGTCTTTGCTATCATCACTCCCTCTGTGTAAGGCACCATTCTGAGAATTTTGCATAATTATCTCATTTCACAGCCACCATATGAGGTAGGCACTGTCCCCATTTGACAGAGAGAACTCTGAATCTCAAAGAACAGATCATGAAACAGAGTAACAGAGCCATGATTCAAACCCAGCTTTGCCCAGTCCCTACTCTCAAGCGATTGACCAGAAAGCCTCCCATTTTCTTCCATTTCTTCTTTCTTCCAGGTACAATTTCCGCGGGTTTCGTTGGTTACAAGCAATGATATTTGCCATCGAGGAAATCAACAGCAGCCCAGCCCTTCTTCCCAACATGACACTGGGATACAGAATATTTGACACTTGCAACACCGTTTCTAAAGCCTTGGAGGCCACCCTGAGTTTTGTGGCACAGAATAAAATTGATTCTCTGAACCTTGACGAGTTCTGCAACTGCTCAGAGCATATCCCCTCTACCATCGCTGTGGTGGGAGCAACTGGCTCAGGCATTTCCACGGCAGTGGCAAACCTGTTGGGCCTCTTCTACATCCCCCAGGTATAACTACCTTCTTAGATGGGGCAGCAGTGTAAGCAGGGATCAGGACTCAAAGGTCTGCCGTGCCCACTGTCCATGCAGCTTGCTATTTTCCTACCTCCGGCTCTACATTAGCATAGAAGACCTTTTAACTAGTCGGGGCACTGTACCATGACCATTTGGGAATTCTGAGACCCCCAACATCAACCATGGCAACTAAACCTTCAACACTCTTCCAAAATTCTTTTAAACATGCTGTGTATAAAACTTTGTCTTTTTTATCAAAGTGTTCAGTTATTTATTTTTCCCTCCCTTCCTTTAGTAAATGCCATTCTTCTGCCTTTACTAAAAAGAATGAGACCATGTGATGTAAATCCCACCTTTCAAACTCAAAATATCTGTCCCTAATCCTATTCCCTTAAAAGTCTACCTCTCTACCTTCTGGCTGAGAGTTTAGCTCAGGGGGAAGCAGAGTGTACTTTCTCACAGAACAGGAACTTAATCATTGTCTTGCACATTCTAGAAATGGAAAGTACTCTATTTCATTCAACAAATACTTATAGATCATATATGAATAAATAGTGTCCACCTTGCAGGAACTCAGCCTCGATGAGGAGATGTCTGTATTTTCAAATTCTAGTAAACAGTTCACTAAAACAAGTGCTATCATAAACATTTATTCAAGGTTGCATACTTCCCCCCTGTGAAGTAAACCTTTTTGCATGTTAATATTCATAGATCTATGACATCATTTTATAATAGTGAAAAATTGGAAACAACCTAAATGTCCACGGATGGGACAATCAGCTCAATTGTGAACATCCTTTATAACAATTTTTTAAATTCAATTATAAATGATAATTGATTTATCATTTTCAATGTTTAATATTTAAAATTTGTAAGAGTACCTTTCATAAATTCACATTTATATGTTGGGAGTCTCCATTTCTTTGGTGATAGACATTATCCATTTATATACATATGGCAACTAAAAAAAGTCTTGTCATCATTTCCCGAATCCTTACTTCAGGGAGTTAAAGGTGTTTCCCATGGGGAAGCCCTGGCTCTATAACTTTTTCTCAAAATGATCTAACAATGCTCTTATCAGTAAATGTGCTGGGCAATATGCAAATATACATCTTATAACTTTGGTATATTGTACAGAATTTTTTTAAATACACAGTTAAAGTGAGTTGTTGTAGCCAATAGGCATAAGATGTAATTGCCACCAAGTAAATAAAGAACCCAAAGTAAAGGTTTTCATTCTTTGTGGTTTGGATGAAAGATGAGGTTAAGCTAAATTTGAATTACAAAAGTGAAGACTATAATAATTCTCAGTCAAAACAATGTCACCTGTATCTACAGCAGTGGTTCTCTGCAGTGACTGCATGTTGGAATCATACAGGGAGCTTTAAAAATACCGATGCTTGGGTTTCACACCCCAGAGATCTGGGTTTAATTGATATGAGAGGCAGCCTGGGTGGCAGGAGTTTTGGAAAGCTCCTGAGGTAATCCTAATCTGCAGCAGAGTTGGGAGTCACTCTTCTCTTGTGTGGGGGCAGAAGCCCAGCAGTATTTCTTATGCCACTCATGCCACCAAGTGGATGGAATAAGCAGACCAGCTAGAACAGTTGTGGTTAGAAGTTCTCTGAATCATTCATGAAATTCTCCCCTCTTACAATAAAAAAAGTTTTGTGTGCTTTTAAGGGCTTTTTGTTTTGTTCTGTTTTGTTTTTTTTTTTTGGTGGGGAGAACAGGTAATGGAGTAGTGCTTATCCCCTTTATTTTAAGAGAAACATATCCATAGTAGATATATTTGTTTGTAATTTTAATCCTTTTAAAGTGCTTTTCAGCCCACTTTTCAAAAGATGAAGTAAGCAATAATTGATGAATTTACAAAACGTCTGAGTAGGTTTTTCATTTGCAAACATCTGATTCAGAAGCCTGCTGTTTGGGTCTGCAAGTAGAGCTCTGTAAAAACAGTAACATCTCAACAAATTACTTAATCTAACTACCTACACCTCATGAACTCTCATAACAGCAAGAAGGGGCTTATTCTGATAAAGGAAAAAATTGTCAATTTCATATTATAACTTCCAAAATCAAAAGCTCTTATCAGAAAAATCATGCCCCCTTAGCAAAGTTGGCCCTGGTGGGGTTCTTTTTGTTGTTTTGTTTTGTTTTGTTTTTTAGAGGTGGTGGAGAGGGCAGGGTAGAGGGAGAGGTGAGAGAGAATCTTAAGCAGGCTCCATGGCCAGCATGGAGCCTGATGCAGGGCAAGATCTCACAACCTTGAGATCATGACCTGAGCCAAAATCAAGAGTCAGATGCTCAACTGACTGAGCCCACCCAGGTGCCCTGGCCCTGATCTTTCATACACCAATGTCTTTCATATTTTTGATGTAGAAACTATTCATTGATAAGAAGGAATATATTGGAAAAATCAGGGAGGGCACATGATGTGATGAGCACTGGGTGTTATATGCAACTAATGAATCATTGAACACTACGTCAAAAACTAATGGTGCTATATGTTGGCTAATTGAATTTAAATTTTTAAAAAAGATCTAAAAAAGGGAAAATTCATTTTAAAACATTGAACATAGAAAACTAATTATTTCAACTGGTGAGAAATATTAAAAGGACATTCCCCCCAATTTTTTCAACTTGGTTTCCTTTAAAATCTCTCTAGAAAACTGGAGAACAAGAGATATTAAACACTCTTTCATTACCAAGAGAGGGAACAACTGGAGGCTGGGAGAGAGAAATTAGGCAGAATAGGAAAGAGGACCCTTGGGGCTCCTCTGAAGAGCCTTGGGTTTCTCAAGAACCTCATTCCTTCCAGAAGTGAGTCATGGACAAAGTGTTCATCATAGTGAAGGGGAAGCTAAAACGTTTAGGTCAGAACCTGGACCTAACAGGAAAAAGATGTGTACATGGATATATTATAACCAATGAGGCAGCACAGAGGAAGTTAGGAGCGACTATGGAACAGTGTATAAAGACTCTCCTTGAAAGTATAAGTAGACTCCACTATTGTTGGGTTGACTTTATGGCCAGACCCATTTCTGAAGGTAGCATTGTGAAGAATCATCCACTGGGAATGATGGTGCTCCCTGAAAGACAGATGCTTGAGTGCTCATGCTCACCCTGGAGATAACAGATTCCGGCTGTCTTCACCCTTTCATCCTGATTGCCATGAACAGCATGTCTGATAAATTAAATTCATGAATGCTCAAAAAACCACCTCCACACAGCCTCCCTCACTGGTACCTCACTCACTCATTCATCCTGTGTTCTTTCCAGGTCAGCTATGCCTCCTCCAGCAGACTCCTCAGCAACAAGAATCAGTTCAAGTCCTTCCTCCGTACCATCCCCAATGATGAACACCAGGCCACTGCCATGGCAGACATTATTGAGTATTTCCGCTGGAATTGGGTGGGTACAATTGCAGCTGATGATGACTACGGACGGCCAGGGATTGAGAAGTTTCGCGAGGAAGCGGAGGAGAGGGACATCTGCATCGACTTCAGTGAACTCATCTCCCAGTATTCTGATGAGGAAGAGATCCAGCAAGTGGTGGAGGTGATCCAGAATTCCACAGCCAAAGTCATTGTTGTTTTCTCCAGTGGCCCAGACCTTGAACCCCTCATTAAGGAGATCGTCCGGCGCAATATCACAGGGAGGATCTGGCTGGCCAGTGAGGCTTGGGCCAGTTCTTCCTTGATCGCCATGCCCGAGTACTTCCATGTGGTTGGGGGCACCATTGGATTTGCTCTGAAGGCTGGGCAGATCCCAGGTTTCCGGGAATTCCTGCAGAAAGTCCATCCCAGGAAGTCTATTCACAATGGTTTTGCCAAGGAGTTTTGGGAAGAAACATTTAACTGCCACCTCCAAGAAGCTGCTAAAGGGCCTTTGTCCATGGACACTTTCCTGAGAGGTCATGAAGAAGGTGGTGGCAGGATAAGCAACAGCTCCACTGCCTTCCGACCTCTTTGTACAGGGGATGAGAACATCAGCAGCGTGGAGACCCCTTACATGGATTATACACACTTACGAATATCCTACAATGTCTACTTAGCGGTCTATTCCATTGCTCATGCCCTGCAAGATATATACACATGCTTACCTGGAAGAGGGCTCTTCACCAACGGTTCCTGTGCAGATATCAAGAAGGTTGAGGCTTGGCAGGTACATCCTTCACTTAGATAGCGGTTCACTGTGTATTTTGGCAGAGTTGGGCAGATCTAGGCAAGACAGATAAAGTGGTTACCTCAAAAAGGCAGTATCTAAATGACATTGCTATACATAGCTTTGAATTCAAATTGCCTTTTCAAACATCCGAGCAACTGACTTCTGCAAAATTAATAGTCATTTAACTTGATTATCTGTTTAAAGCCTTGGATCTTTAGCCCAGTGGTTCAGAATACGTACAGTATGGCCCCTAAAAGCTTTTAAATATCCTGGAACAGATTTAATACTGTGTGAAGTATTTTTACAATGCTTAAATTACAGATATTGTTCCCTTATAACAAGTATTTGTTGAGTACCTATTATATTCCATGCACTAAGGGGCATAAAACTAGTGTTATTGTGTTTAGCCACTATTACCATAATATTATTTACAATATAATGTGCTGGACAACCCAGTAAGCCAACTAAGCTTAAGACACGAGCAAATCAATGGCATAGGGAAAAAAAAAAAATTCTTCTTCAAAAGATTGGATATTGGATATTTCAAAAAGAAATACTGAAGTAGTTATCATAGAAAATGATTAGGTGAAGGTGGAACTCCTACCCTTATTTTATGGTTTAGTTTTATTTTGTATTTTTTATTTGAATTACACATAAAAGAGACATCATAATCTTTTTCATTTCATAGAACTTCTGAAGATAAAAGTCTGCCTGACTTAAATCCTACATAGCTGTCCATGTCTTGCATACCATGATTTTTCAACCAAACCTTGTTTTATACTCCTTTTGTATTTTCCTCAGTTCTAAACTGACCTATCAGAGAGTGCATGGTTGTTAGGGAGAGGGGAAGGGGACATTCCTGAACATGAGTTGAATGACCCAGCCTCCAGCTTCAGCTCCAGCTTCCCCATATACTAACTGCATCACCCCTGGCAAGCCACTGCTTTAAGCCAGTCTCTTCATCTGTAAAATGGCCCTAATATCTAGCCTACTTTTTCACTCAAGGTTCTTTTGAAGATGAAATGTGATGACATATGTGAAAGCAATTTATAAATTTTCAAGGTTTAAATAGATGGTGATTATTATAGTAGTATTTCAATATGCCTCTAATTAAGCTATCAGGTTAAAAAATGGTAACTACAACAACTGTGTATGTAGAAACCAACTACCACAGACCCTTGGGAAAAGATACCAAGAAACAAAGAATGTACAACCTATGTCAGTCATTTTAGAGACTCTCATGGGATCAGGAGGGACTGTCTAGGGTGGTACAATGAGCCAGGACCACAAGTACTTCTTAACCCTTCTTGTGTAGGGAAAATCTCATTCAGATGTCATTGTTGGCTAAAGTTTCTCATCTCTCTGAGGTACTTAAAGTTTCTTTCCTTGCACTGCACCACCCCCTTCCTGCACCCTAGCAAAAAAAAAAGGAGCAGGGAGTTCCAATCACAGTCAAAAACAAAAAAGACTTCAGGAGCCATAATGATAAGGAGTGGTTTTAAGAGGGAGGAATAAAAGGACAATATTTTAGTAAATACTGTTGTCTTTCCTCCCTTCCCTTCCATGTCCCCTGAAAGGAAGACTCCAGCTCTTGAAAAGCCTACAGGATGAGGGTGAGGTTGAAGGGGAAAGAGACTTCCAGTACATAATTTGACAGTTCTGTTCTTCAGTGGCTCCTCTCCAAACAAGGAAGTAAGATCCAGACGGTCAAGACCAAAGCTTTGGCATATGTGAAAAAAGCTGTAAGAAGGAGGCTATAGTCAAGACTGGGACTTTTAGTTCCATACAGTAGAAAACCCAAACCAAATTGGCATAAACAGAAGAAACTCATATTATTAGCAGTTCATAATATTGAAAATTGGAGAAGTATTCCAGATACAAGTAGATGCTTTCATCTCCATATCTGTTCTTTATTCCTCATGGTTATCAGTTTTCAGCCTCTATAGTAGCTTCAGGCTCATAAAATCTTTACTGTTAGGCTCTTATTTCCCATGATCTCCTGTAAAAGTCCCAGGAACCACACTGATTGACCAGTCCAGAATCACATATCCATCCCTGAAGCTAGGAGTGGAATCCTTTCAAACTATATAGACTGAGAGTAAGAAGGGGAGTGGATCTCCAAAGGGAAATCAGGATGCTGTTACCAAAAGGAGGAAAAAGGAGAGGCAAAGCAGGCAAAATTAAGATCCAACACATAGACACCTCAGCTGACAGGTTAAGTACAGGTTAAGATGTGCCATCCTGGCTCACACACAGTCTGGCACAAGTCCTCCAGGAGAGGAGACAGATAGGAAAATAGGGTCGCAGCTCTAGGGAGGAATAACATGTGGTCATTGGCCAAAACGTCCTGTGTACTTGCTGTAAGTCTCCTTTAAGCCTTGTCTCTAACTATCAGGAGATGGACCGACAATTATTCACTCTCATTATGAAGACCTACGTGGAAACCTATCACCTGTACATTATATATAATCTAATCCAAAGATCTCAGCCTGGAATTCCACCCCATCTCTCTCAATTCTCCTTTAAGCCAACCTGCCTAGCACCTCCCCACAAAAGCATCTATGAGGTTTTGGCATAGTATTTTTGCTTAGATCATATCCCACACCTGAAAGGCCATCAATTTTTGTTTCCTGTGTCCACTGTCTACCACAAAGTTTTAACTCTTTCTCAAAACTGACTTTCTCCTAGAAGTCTTTGCAAGTCATACTCCCACACACACTTTTTGTGGCCACTCTTTCTTCCTCATTTTTGCCATTTACACACTCAACTTAAGCTTCCAGAACTCTTCAGTTGACTGAAATAGGTTCTTATTAATTAAACTTCTGGTTAAATAAGGTCAATCACAAGTTTTTTCTTTTGTTGACCTTTGCTCCCCCTAAAATTTGTCCATCAATTCATATGCCTTAAAGTATCATTAACAGATAATTTATGAGCACACAACACACAATTCCCTCCTGACCTCCTCAAAGAACCCAAGTCCTTCTCACTGCTCCTCAGCGCTCTCTTCACTCTGACTCCTCCACTGTACTGTTCAGCACTCTTCCAGAACATTTGACACCTGAGTATGTGTAGAATAAATGAAAGAAAGAATCGTAATCTAGTTGATTTGGCCTGACAACTAGAGTCCTTGCAGGAAAGTGTTCAACCCAACTCATCCTTGAATCAATCACTCTGGTCCAAGTACTCTAGACTCTGATTATATAAGCCTGTGTCACATGCCCAACAATCAAATTTGTATGGAACTTCATGTAAAGAAGTGTGGAACCACCTTCTTCCTTCTCTCAGGATGATTGTACATAAGGCATACTTCCTACTTTCCCCTACCTTATACCAACCACTCACTAATCAAAAAATAGGTAAGCATAATGACAGAACCATGGTGATAACAGAAGTCAGATGGAATTGATCTTTCCAGGAATTGCGAGTACTGTTGGGATTTGGAGAGGGGCGTGAATTGGGGTGAAAACCAGAAGAGATGGAGGGTAGATAAAGAAATATGGTTGAGGTTAGAGAAGGGAATTGGTCCTGGATCTTCCCAACACTCTTAGTACAGGAAGTGGGCAAGAAATAATAGTCTCCTTATCTGTGTAAACCATCCCTCATTCACCCCTGTGTGGATGGGGTGCTTTGTACATCCCATCCCATTTTCCCTCTGTGCTATGATGCCATGTGTAAGAGTTGGAACTCCTAGACAACAGTAGGGGGTTTCTAGTCTCTTCTAATCTTTGGTTTATTTCAATTAAACATTAGAGTATGTGCCAAGAGGTGGTTCCCATCTACGCTTATAATGAGCAACGGTTTGACTTTAAAATCCTTTAGAGGAAATACCCTAAAAGGCCACAAGATGGAAATAGTACCACATAAAAGACAGTATGTGACCATCTCAGTGTGTGCACGTTGTAAGTACCTGTCCCTCTTTTACCACATCTTTCGCGGTATTTAGTTTTCTTCATGAGCTAGTTTCTGTCTGTATATTATCTTCTATGTTTAAGCCTTTCCATTAGCCGTTTTCCTTTCTCCTCCCCTTCATTTATTCTTATTTTTCTCACATTTCTCCCCAAGTAAAATAATTTAGAGGCATATTATACTGGATTGTAATTTCAAGTAAAATTTTATATTTTCTTTTTTAACGGAACTATTAGTCCCTTCTTTTAAAATTCCAGAAGAAGAGTGCTCTCTCTGGGGAAAATATTAAACTATTTTGTAATGTATGTTGCTCTTTTTGGGTCAATGATTATCAATTTAAAGATTCCCTATCATTGCTTTTAAGGGTGAAAACAGTTTCCATCTCAACCTTCCCTGTTATGCAAGGTATTAATGTAGAAAAATTAAGTGTTCAAAGGCAAAACTTGAAAGTCAACATGCCAAAAGAAACATTAAAAATATCCAAGAAGATGACTTAAAGATATGACTTAGAAAACAAATAATTGATTATTAATGGACAATGTACAAATTTTGACTAGAAAAATTCAATACTCATGATTTTATTTATATACCTGCTGTGAGGGTGAAACAGTACAATACTACGCAGGTTGGGATTTGAAGTAAGGATGAAAACAAATGATATCATCTGAGATGGGCCCTGAAGGATGGACAGACAAGATTTTTGGAAAAGGTCTGTTCCTTGGAGAAAATGTCAAATGCAAAGGCAAATACACAACAATGTAGGTAAATCCCCAAAACATCATGCTGAGCGAAAAAATCCAGACTTAAAAAAAAAAAAGTCATACTCTTTTATTACTACACTTATATGATATCCTTTCTCTAATGATAGAAAAAAAACAGATCCACTTAGTCTAATGGTGGAAAGAAAACAGATCCACGGTGGCCTAGGGCTCCAACTCAGGGTGGGGACTAACTTGGAAGGGACATCTGGGAAACTTTCGGGATGATAGTAGTGGTGGTTACACAGGCATATTTTCCAAAACTCAGAACTATCCTCTTAAAATAGGCATATTTTACCCTATGTAAACTATACTTCAATATAGTTGATTAAA